GTAGTAGTATAGTAGTATATATATATAGTATAGTATATATATATATATATATATATATATATATATATATATATATATATATATATATATATATATATATGCCTGTGTGTGTATGTGTGCGTATGTTTGTGTGTGCGAGTTCGTTAGTGTGTGGGTGTGTGGGTGTTTGTTTGTATGTGGGTGTGTAACGTGTGTGTATGTGTGTCTGTGTATGTGTGTGTCTCTGTGTGTGTCTCTCTAAGTGTGTATATATGTATGTATGTACCTTTGTACGCACGTACGTATATATGTATGATTGTATGTATTTGTATATATATATATATATATGTGTGTGTGTGTGTGTGTATGTATGTATGAATGTATGTGCGTGTGTGTATGCGTATATTTATATATATATATATGATTTATGCATAAGCATGCACATCTGTAGTCAGGAACAAGTGACAATACATTTTTACAACTGCTCAATATTATACTAGAATAGCGACCATAAACCTACAGCCTTGCATTATGCTGCATGTTCGTATAGATACTGTGAATATTGCGTAGATATCCGTATGCACGTTTACAGAACATATATATACATATACATATATATATATATATATATATATGTGTGTGTGTGTGTGTGTGTGTGTGTTTACATGCGTTCACCTTATATACGTGAAAGGAATACAATATCTTCTTATATCCATCAGACAACTACCGTGTTGTAATACTTTCAGCATGGAGATGGTACTATGTGCACAATGGTGCTTGCGCGTATAGAACAGCCACCCATGGCTTCGATATATTATCTCGTACACATTCGACATACTACTGCTGTTGTTATTTCGATATGCTGGTAGATATTTGGGCAGACGAGTTTGCCATACCTGGCGAGTATGATACCATATCTGTCTTAAATTTTGGAATTTTGCCAAAATGAACTATTTATGTCGAATCTCGCGGTTAATTTGGTCATACACTTAACGTATGGCCGAATCAAGCATCGGTATTCTTTAAATGCCGTTATATACAGTTATATGCAGACGTGGCTATTCATTGCCAAAAACCAATCGCTTCAGACTTTAAAACGCAATTTGAACGAGAATTTGAAGACTCATACGTGTATTCAGACAATTCAGGGCACATTCTGTGACAGAAACAATCTCATTTGTTCTGGTCGCCATGTTAAGTTATATCTTTTGAACAATCGTATGCTGTGCAATCTCTACCGTCCAACCTATTCTCCTGATGTCCGGAATACACGCATACAACATTCGTACTGTCCTAAATCCTAATTTTATATTTACTGAATACGTACACCACTCTACTACTGTCCTGAATTCTAACCCTATAACTACAGAATACACACACACACAACTCCAATACTGTCCTAAATCCTAATTCTATAACTACAGAATATACACACCACTCTACTACTGTCCTGAATTCTAACCCTATAACTACAGATAAATCCTAATTCTATTACCACAGAATATGTACACCACTCTACTACTGTCCTGAATTCTAACCCTATAACTACAGAATACCCACACGCACACAACTCCAATACTGTCCTCAATCCTAATCCTATAACTACAGAATATGTACACCACTCTACTACTGTTCTGAATTCGAACCCTATAAATACCCACACACACACAACTCCAATATGTCCTCAACCCTAATCCCACAACCAAACTATCGCTCAATCCTAATCCTACGACCAAATTATCGGTGCGCAGAAAATGCCCGCAAGTCCAAGCAGGCCGAACAGGGCATCTACTACGACGACAACTACGACTATCTCAAGCACTTGAAAACCGTAGGCGAAGACCCGGAAGGCGTGCTCATAGCGGCGCCAAAACGAAAAGGGGTGCACATTCCAGACCCAACCGCCCCGATTATCGACCTGCCCGCGGATGTGTTTGCGTCGGAAACGCAGAACGAGGTAGGTATGCTGAATTTGGCGGCGCCGAGAACGGGGTTGAACGTGGATGTGGACTTTGAGATGCTGGCGCAGTTGGATAGCGATGCAGAACACGACGACGAGTGGGCTATGGGAGATGACTTTATTGAGCTAGGCGAAGGTGATGGAGAGGGTATTGTGGATGAGGGCCATGACGATGGTATGTATTGGGTACTATGTATGGCGTACATATATATATATATATATATATGTTTATTTGTGTGTGTGTGTGCGTAGAGCAGAACCAGATGTTCATTGTGAATTTACTACTTCTCTTAAACACTTTCCGCAGCGAAGTATAGATATATATGAAGTTCATGTTGAACTAAAGTGCAAATCACATCTGTATTCCATATGTCCTACTCGGTTTTGCTATTGCTTATTCCGTCACCCGCATTGTTCCCACAGATGCACACCATGCGGATGATACCACGTGGCACTTTATGAAGAACAAGAACAACACGAGCGCAGCCGCGGGATCGCTCAGTGGTGGTAGTTACAGCAGCGGAAGCGTGCGAGGCGGGAGAAGCGATGATGTGAGTAGAATGTGATTGTCTCACGATTTTGATTCATATATATATATATATGTGTGTGTGTGTGTGTCTATGTCTCTGTGCCTGTGTGCCTGTATATCTGTCTGTATATCTGTCCTAACAGACCTCTGACAAGTAGGTATGTAGGTTTTATCGTGGTTGTATTCAATAATGGAGCAATTAACCGTAAGTCATTGTTTATATTTGTTATCATTATCTTGCTATTTCCTGATTTTCGTTTTCCTATCTCCTAGTTCATCCTTATTCTCTATTTCATATCATCTCAGGCTTTCCAATCAATTTTTTCGCTACCAATGGCTAGTTCTCAATTCTTCTTTGTTCCCATTTTGATCCAAATTTCAGGATTTCGAAGACTTTGCGGACGAAGAAGTGCAATCCACCACCTCCCGTTTTACTGAGTACTCCATGACGTCTTCCGTCATGCACCGAAACGACAAGCTGCAGTTGCTAGACGATCAGTTTGAATCGGTATGTCAGTGTGTTCAGTCGTGTTGTGTTCTATTTCACACGTAAGAGATGTATCATGTACTCTACAACAACTGTACTATTTCACACGTAAGAGGTGTATCATGTACTATACAACATCTGTTCTATTTTACACATTATATGTATCGTGTTGTTATGCGCTGTTCCTGGGTCGAATGCAAGTACGACTCAACCTGTCTATGTATGTAGAAGGCTTATCCTTTGACTTCCGATACTCTTTGTGATAGTACTACCCCCCCTGATAGGCCTGTGTTCTATTTATATCACAGATCTACGCCCAGTACGATGAGGAGGACATGGGTGAGCTGGACGAAGAAACCACTGAGGGCCGCAAAGAACTAGATGACTTTAACGACCTGCTAGACGAGTTTATGGCGACAAAAGAAATCGGTAGGTGTAGTGCATATGTATGTATGTAGGTATGTATGTATGTATGTTTGTATGTATGCACGTATGTATGTATGTACGTTTGTATACATATATGTATGTATGTATACGTGCATCTACGTACTTCTTGTTTGTTTTCTTTCCCATTTAGTTCATTCATCCTCTATTAGTATCAAAATCATCCAATCTAGCCGACTTGTTGTGTATTATCTTGCAATTTAGCTTTCGTTTCGTCTTGTCTTGTTTTATTCAAACCCCTAATCCCCATCCATTCTAATTCACTCGTTGTTCATTACACCGGCTTCTAATTTAGGCAAGCGTGTGGGCGGTCCTGAAGGTTTCCTTCATCCCGATAAAGACGTCATCAATAGCGACGCCGTTCAGAGGAGTATAGCGGGCGCTGTTGAAGAGGTATGATTTAAATCTATATTCAACAGTAGTATATGTTAATTATATATATATATATATATATATATATATAGCGGTGGCACATATCCAACACATGATATGTTATTATGTTCATGTATATGTATAGATAGGCATATGTGGATAATACGGGCACCGTTGAAGCGGTATGATGCATATCTATCTATGTATATCAGTATTGTGTTTTCAATTACATCGATATGCATACATGTTTTATTATTGTGTCTTTGTGAATGTGCATGTATACGAGAATAAGATGAATTTTGTACATATATACGTGCATGTGTCGCGTGGTACATACTTGCATTCATTCTCATATTGCTATGCACGCGCGCTTATTTCTATATATGCAGATGTCGTGAAGAAAGCATAATAACTATACCTGTGTTATCACTACATCTATAAATATACCTATATCATCACTATATCCATAACTATATCTGTGTCATCACTACATCTATAACTATAACTATATCATCACTATATCCATAACTATACCTGTATCATCACTACATCTATCACTATACCTATATCATCACTACATCTATAATTATACCTGTACCATCACTATATCTCTATAACTACACCTGTATCATCACTATATATCTATACCTATACCATTAACTATTCCTATACCATCACTGTATGCACAACTATATCCTATCTATACACTCTATTCACCTGTATCGGCCTTTGTCTTCTTACCCGCAGGTACTATCGGATGACGAACGCACCCGACAACGCCTGCACAACGAGAAGAAAGACGAGTGGATCAAAGAACGGCTCATGGACGAACTAGAGGAGAAGCGCATACGCGAGAACAACGCATGGGATTGCGAGACGATAGTCAGCACGTACTCGAACATCTACAACCACCCCACACTGATCAAAGAGTCACACACCCGCTCACGAAGGCGTAAGGGGGCCGAGGGAGATGGGGAGAAAGAGGTCTTGGGGGAAAGTTCGGTACCGGTGGCGGAGGGTGAGAGTGTTGAGATTGAGACGGGTAAAGGTAGTGGGAAGGGTGTAGGTAACGTGATTGTAGAGGTGGATGTGAAGGTGAAAGGGAATAAGGATGTAGGAGACTCCCCGGATGAGGATGCTGCGAGTGATTCCGGTAATGAGAGCGGAGAGGACGAAGAGCCTCTGAATAAGGGCCAAAAGCGAGACAAGACCGAGAGTAAGGCCGAGAAAAAGGCGAGAAAGGCCGCGGTTAAACAGGAACGACACGCGCGAAGAGCCAACAAGAAGACGACCAAGGGTGTGTACAAGCAGGAGGAACTCAGACAGGAAAAGCTGGTCAAGGGCAAGGTCAATGTAGTGGATCTCAGTTAGGTTAAGACGGTTATATTGGCAAATAATAAACAAGACATAAGTTTTTGGATTGGATTGAGAGAATATCTATTTGTTCTTAAAGTGCTACTTGTGTGATTCAACATGCAAAGTGAGAAATATATATATACAAAAGTGTTAGTAAGAAGACGACCAAGGGTGTGCATAAACAAGTAGAGAAATATACATATATATATATATTTACAAAAGTGTTAATAAGAAGACGACCAAGGGTGTGCATAAACAAATGAGATATATGTATATATACAAGTGTTGGTAAGAAGACAGCCAAGGGTGTGCACAAACAGGAGGAGCTGAAGCAGGAGACGCTCGTCACGGGCAATCGCACCACACGATCGTACATATATATACCAACCAATGACCACAACATTAATGAATTGGCGTAATACTCGAACAAAAAAGTATCCCATTTATTATTATTCACATAGGTGGTATCTCCCCGTGTTTAGTTATAATTCCCTCCTCTCCTCTACCCTGCCCCACACGCCCAGGCGTCAAGCGTTACATCCGCCGCACAAGTAACAAGTAAGTTAAGTTAGTTACAACAGCATTTTGGTTGGGTCCTCCATCATCTCCTTAAACGCCTTAAGCCATTGCGCACCCACAGCGCCATCCACCACACGGTGATCGCACGACAGTGTGACGTTCATCATGGTGCCTACCTCGGGTAGACCCTCCTTAGTGGCAATCACCTTCTGACTCGAGCCACCCACGGCCAGGATACAAGCCTGAGGGGGGTTGATAATGGCACAGAAGTCCCGTACACTGTCGTACATGCCCAGATTAGACACGGTGAATGTACCCCCCTGATACTCATGGGGTTGTAGTTTGCCCTCGCGCGCACGACCGGCAAGCTCCTTGACCTGGAGGGCCGGGGGTGAGGATGAAAAATGAGATACAAGGGTTTGGGGTGTAGGGTTTGATGGGTGGAATATATGGATCGATGATATCGTACGCAATTTTAGGAGTCTGTGCATATTGGAGATCCTATGCGAATTTAGAAAAGTGTATTTTTACAGATTGGTATGCGAGAATGAGAATCTAAGTGATAGGTGCATAATTACGATGTTATGCACATATATGATTTACATACGTGTGTATGTGAATCTGTAGGCGTATCTAACTGTGTCGGTATGCGTAATGTAATTCTAAACGCGAAGCAATGATGCGATAGACGCTTGCCCTCGTGCGACGAGTTTCCACGGGATATATGTATATGTATTTGTGTATGTATTCGTGTATATATATATATATATATATATATGTCTGTTTGTGTGTGTGTGTGTGTGCGTGCGTGTGCGTGTATGTGTCTTGTACTATCATAACTACATACCTGTCCGCTGATGCTCTTCAATCCCTTGGCGTGGCAGTTCTTGACAATAGGTGTGATCAGACCAGACCCAGTCGCCACCGCAACGCTGACATCCACGGTGTTGTATTGTCTGATATAGTCTCCCTGCCAGCTCGAGTTCACCTCAGGCACTTGCAGACACGCCAGAGCACTTGCTTTGACTACAAAGTCGTTGACAGAGATCTTGAACTCTCCCTTGGCCCCGGCATTGATGGCAGTACGCAGCTTGGTGACTTCGCCGAGGTTGATTTCGGAGGTGAGATAGTAGTGGGGGATGGTGGTCTTGCTCTCCAACAGGCGGCCGGCAATGATCTTTCGCATGCCACTTACCTACAATACGTACGGATAGACAAACGTGAGTGTATGAGGTTACATAGGAGTGTGTGGGTGAATGCATTCAGAATTCAGAACATCGTAGTATATACATATATATACGTACACGCCAACATATGTACACACAGACACCTACACACACAAGTGAACGTGGACTGAATGCGTTCGCTCACCTGTTCGTCATTCATGGATGGCCCGTCGAGAGGAGATGTTGAACTGCTTCCACTGCTACTGCCACTGGTGCTTCCACTGCCGCCAGATACCATCTCTGCAGTGAGTGAGTGTGTGTGTAAGAGTGTGAGTTGGTATGTGTGTAAGAGTGTGAGTTGGTATGTGAGAGAGAGAGTGTGTGTAAGAGTGTGAGTTGGTATGTGATTGTGTGCGTGTTTAAAACAGTGCGTATTTGCGTGTGCATTCGCGTGTGTGAGGGCATGTATGTGTTTGAGACTGCATGTGAGAGTGTGCATATCTATTTATTGTAGTGATTTACATCATGGGTGTGATAGTATGCATATGAACGTGTAAACGTACGTTATTTATAGCTTGTGTGAGAACGTACATGGACGTACTCGGCAGGTGCATGTCAGTAAAGATAGGCTATGCCCACGGTTATATACATGTGTGTGTGCGTGTATGCATCAGACATATATATATATATATACGCACGTGTGCAGTATTCGTGACTGGTGCGTATATGGGCTCATGCGTGTGCGTAGTTTCCGCGTCATTTCGCGAGTCTCGTTACTGCTTGATTAGGGCGCCAATACTATGATAATATAGAGACAATATAGAAAAGTACAGTATATAGAAAGTTACACGTTTTTATACGTAGTATGTGCCTGTCTACATCTACATTAACATTTAAATCTATATATATATATATAGGCAGTAACTCGCGGGTGCTGCTGGTTACTGCTCTGTGACGTGTGTATGTTAGAAAAATTGTTCTAAAAAATAGACATACTTTGCTTGGTGAAGGAGTATACATCCGATTCCACAACACGTCCATTGGGTCCTGAACCAGACACTTCTGACAGATCGAATCCTAGTTGCCGTGCCAGGTGCTTGGCCAAAGGAGAGCCCAGACCAGAATTGGATCCCGATGAAGTAGCAGACTGCTGCAAGAAAGAAATTAGGAATTAGAAAACGGAATGAACGAGACTTGTGTCAATTCTTAATTGATGCATGTGTATATATGTATGCTTGTATGCATGCATAAATGTATTATCTATGTATTTGTGCATATATTTACGTACGTATGCATCTACATATATATCTTGAATCTGTACCTGTATCTATATATATAGGTATATATATATATATGTGTGTGTGTGTGTGTATTACACAAATATACATACATGTATGTATGTCTATTATGATGTATGCATATGTATTTGTATGTTTATTATAGAATGAACGTATATGTATATGTATGTATATGTAATTGTAAAATTATATGTATTTATTTGTATATGCATGTCTGTACATGTATAGGTATGTATAAATATACATATGAATAGGTACATGTCGTGACTGTGTCTGTCTATGTTTTTTCTAAGCCTATGTATATGTATACGCATGCATATATTTATGCAAATATACAAAGACAAATCTTAGCGAGGTAGGTAGGTAGATAGGTACGAAGGTAGATAGATAGATAAATATAGAGATTTAAAGATATATATACTTACTGGTTGAGGGTCTTTAGCGGGAACAGTGGGTGCGGCGGGTGCAGGGGGTGGGGGCTTCTTCTCGGTCTTCGGTAGTTCGGCCTCCTCAGTCTTAGCGGCACCACCAGCAGCTTCTGCACCAGAGCCATCGTCTTCGTAGTCAGCGAACGCAGCCACATCACCCTCCTCGGGTACAAGGATGGCAATCAACTGCGGTGGTTCATGGGGATAGTAGATATTAACACGTGCTGTCCACGGGTATATTTCATCACATTTTTACTATACCTATATATGTATACATGTGCGAGTGTTTGTGAGTGTATCACGACGAAGGAGACACATACTATAAAACCATTTGTACGTACCTTTCCTACGGGAACGTCCTTTTCCCCAGCATTAATGAAGGTTTTCGCAAGATAACCGTCTTCGTTGCATTCGAATTCCATAGTTGCTTTGTCTGTTTCAATTTCTGCAAGAACATCACCTGCGGCGATCTGGTAAAGGGGAGGAGTACAAGGTATTCAAATCTTCGAAACGAGACACTGAATAAGCTTTAGACATATCTATATATATGTGTGTGTGAGTTCATATCTACATGCGCATGTACGTATGTACACTCCGGAAAATTGCTTCCTCTGGGCGAGACAAAATATACGACATTTACATACATACAAGGTATACTACACATTCTGTTCATGTACACATATGCAAGTCCACGTGCACATACAAAATTGTGTGTGTAACTCAAACCACTCCCGCATACGGGCTACTCTCTCTGCCTCGACAACGAGCACTCCCGCGGTACGTTAGAGGTACGCGTGATGAGTATGATACTTAAACTATATAACTCTTAAGGTATGGTATAGCCGATACTTGTACACTGTATATACTGGCATGTATATACACGCATACTTTCATAAACGCATACGCTTCGATATATATACCTACATACCCAGAACTGACTACAAATATACGTTATTACTGATGCTTGCAAGCACATCAGCCGTTGAATAGAAGCCAAGCATCGTGGGCTTAATGTCCGAGAATAACAAAACGTATATCGCACACGTGCACAGTATGAATCCGTATATACTGTATTCAGATGCGTACACGCGGCATGTATACCTGCTCAAATACATGCGTACGAGCACGCACACACGCACGTACGCGCAGACTATATACAACCGCTAACCGAATGAAAGCAATGTGGGATAAGAAAGACGTATGGCGGAGACAAGACAACCCAGCAGAGACGTACGCACGAACCATGCAAGACCCGTGAGGAACGGACAGGACACACGCTTCACCACCGATCTCCACATTCTAGCTAACGAAAAGCATTCAGTACACACTCACACACATAGACCTATCCACACGTACAAATGTGTGACGAAACAAGCCTTGTGACAGAATAATACTCGTGATGGAATAAGACACACACCTCTCCGCCGACCTCCACACTCCAGCTGGCTAGGTTCCCTTGTTCCATCGTGGGCGATAGCGCGGGCATTGTGATCTTGGTGTGTGTGGGATAATCTGTAGATACAATACAAATTGAGATATATAAAAACAATAGAAATACAATGTAAATCTAAAATAGAAATACAATACAAATCTATTATAAATACAATACAAATACAATATAAATCGAGACATAAATGCAATGTATATACAATGCAAATAAAATATAAGTCGACAGTAACATTGTACATACAAAGTAACTCAATATAAATCAAGTCATAATAGAACATAAAGCGACACAGATGCAATGAATGGGAATACAATATCAACCGAGAAATAATTACATTGCAGATACACAGTTAAGTACAATACAAAACGTGATATATGAACGCAATACAAATACAATGCAAACACAATATATAGTGTATGACGAGACAGAACGATCTGGATTGAACGTTAGCGTTAACAAAGGAACATATTTGAATGTACTCAGCTATTGGTCCAGTCTATTCCGAGAACTTTACTACCTCGCCATAATAATATCTATAAAGATGGGATGGGATGTGTATAAACATGACCCTAGAGACTCACGAGACATGTAATTTTCTAGATAAGCCTTTGCAAACAGAGTTACGTACCTAAGATATACATTATAACTATACATAGAATAATAGGAAGAAGGAAGGGCTGCACATACATACAACCACATTTACAACAACGTACCTAATAGCACAGACGTTGAACGGTACCCCCTCCATTGTCTAAACAGGGTTGCCGCTCTTGTGCTTGTAGCAGCACCGGCTGCTACGTGAAACCTCGATCGGGCTGCAAGTGCGCATGCACTGCGCAATGCTGAAGTTGCGCTCAGCATGATTGTATATGTTCCTGGAGATATGTGGATTGGAAAGCAACGATTGGTATTCAGGCATGATTGTATGCATTCCTGGGGATACGAGGGTTCGGATGCGGAAGTGGGTGTGCTTGCACACTGGCGTATACTGACTGCCTGTGTGTGTGAGTGTGTGTATGCGATTATATATATATATATATATATAAGTGTGTGTGTGTGTGTGTGTTGTGTAGTGTACGTATTGTACGTTATATATATA